AAGATGACAAGCACATAGTTAATTTAACTGTACACAAAACGATTCCCTACTAAAAAAATTCTGTAATGAAAAAAGAAATGTTGCTGATGTAAATATTCGATGTTTTATTTTATATTTTCTTGTGTCGTGTTTTCTTACATTTTTATTATTGCGTTACATATTTTCACAGCTTGTAGCTTTTATTCATTCAAATTTCAAAATATAGTACTGACTTTTTGTTTTATGTATAATACTTGTAGTGGTTTTGATGAAATTATTGATGACTTTTAATGGATAAAATATATGCACGTTATTTTTAATTAATGTTGAGTTATTAATATTTATATATAATAAACTAAAGTAACCATAGTCCACAAATTCAACATACAAGACGAGTTTCCATCATATAAAAACTCTTCACATATATTATATATATTGTATTGTATTATTGAGTAAAGAAAAAATGGGATAGGTGTTGTTCACATTGACAAAATCATGTATCGAAACGCAAAAGTCTCGCTCCCAACCATTTTCTTTGTTATCTTTTTGGTCAAATATTTTTATTATTTCATTTCTATTGAACGGAATTTTTATTATTTTCACTCTGAACTGAATTTCCATTTATTTTACTTGAACTGGTTGTAATCCTTTCTCACTTGTCACTTCTTGAAAAACATAACTTCACAGTTTATTAATAAAGACAACTGATACATACATAAATCTCATTCTATTTTGCCTACACTATCCTCAAACACTCAAAACATACAAAAGAACCTAACTAATAAAGAGATAAAATATCTAAAAAAGAAATAAGAAAAATTATAATCACTTTTTACTCTCGCTATCTTATATAGGGCGTGTTTGGCAAAAGTAGTTGTTAGCTGGAAGCGGGTAGCGGTTAGCTGGTAGCGTGTAGCGGGTAGTTGGTAGCGGGAATTTGTAGCTTTTATTTGTTATATGAATGTTTGGCAAAAGTAGCTGGAAGCTTTTCAAATATATAAAATTACATAAAAAGACAATTGATTAAAAATAAATAAATATATAAATATATTTTTAAGGGGAATTATGGAAATTGATTTCAAAAGCTCAGTGGCGTTTTGTTAAACACTACATGAAGTAGCTTTTAGAATTGGAGCGTTTTGTTTAAACTAAAAGCTAAACGCTCATACTGTCAAACGAAGCTTTTTGTTTAAACTAAAGCGTTTTGTCAAAAGCTAAAAGCTAGAAGCTCTCAAACGCTTATAAAGACTCTGTGCCAAACACGCACATAGAGTAAACTTATACTCGATGTGGGACTGGGACTGAATGACACAAACTAATATATAGTATCACGGAAAGAGTACAGTCCATAACTGCAATGGTACAACCAGCAACACCAGCATCCATAGTTTCAGCTTATTCACTTTCGCTCCTGAACTTTATTTAATCTGCACAACAACCCTTTAGCTTTACAAGATATGACTCTAATAGCAACATTCCTTTATTACTTCAACCTACAACCAAATATACCAAATTAGGTAGTCCACTTTATATATTTCCAAGTTTATGATTGAATTATATTAAGAGATAAACATATTTCTCAGCATCACTCAGTTAAGCTATAATTTTTTTAAGGGAAGTGATTCGTATACAATATTTTTTTTCCATACACAACATTTTATGCTTAATGGAGTTGTGCAATACAACATTTTAAAGCATAAATTGTTGTGTATGGAGAAATTTTTTTGTGTACGAATCAGTTTCCTTTTTTTAAACCTTTGTATCGAACATGTTATGTCTTACTAGCATTTATGTTCTAAAAATTGTAATTTTCGGGAAACAAAACATAGTTTGCTTGTCACATGATTTAATAGAAACTATTTATGTCACTTGTTAGCATAAATACACTACAAGAAAATTTCAATTTAGCTACGGAAAAATTCCATAGCAAAAAACTGAAACTCCGTAGCTAAAGCTGAATAACTACAAAATTTGTTACAAAAATTTTCAATTAGACTCCGTAACTTTATTTCTTGTAGCAAATTGTTTAGCTACGGAATTATAATTCCGTAGCAATTTTGCTATGACAGTTTCTACGACATTTATTTCGTTGCAATTTGAGTTCCATAGCATTTTGGTAGCAAAATCCATAACAATTTTTCCGTAACTAATTCCGTAGCAATGTTTCCGTAGCAACTTTTCTGTAACTAATTCTGTAGCAATGTTTCCGTAGCAACTTTTTCGTAACTAATTCCGTACCTATGTTTCCATAGCAAATTCCGTAACAACTTTTCCGTAACTAATTCCGTAGCAACCGTAGCAAATTCCGCGTAACAAATTTCATAGCAATTTTTCCGTAACTAATTTTGTACCAAATTCCGTAGCAATTGTTCCATACCATTATTCAATAAATTTCTATTATTCAATTCGACTATTTATATCAATTTATAAAAATGCAATTAAGATAAAACCACAAGTAGCAATGTATTTCTATAGAAACTAAAAAAATATCCAATACATCAAAAGATACATATTTCAAAATCAAAAGTGGTTACTAATTAAATATAAAACTCTATTTGATACATAATATTCTATCATTGATTAATAAAAGTTTTAACCTATTCACTCAAAGCTTGTGCAAGTTGTTCAAACTTTGCTTGAACATCCACATTTTTCTTTTGAAACTCCACATTCTTTTGTTGAGCATCCTTACATTTTTCTGTTGAATATCCTCATATTGTTCGAGTTGCGTCTCAACTAAGACAATTTGGTTTGAGACGTAAGTCTTTCTTTTTATGATCCTGCAATATTTTAATATAACTAGTAAAAACAAGAACAAATGATTAATTTGATTGTTAAATCTTATAAAGGAGGTAAAGCACAAAAAATTTACCTCAAAATCCTTTTTCAAAAACATATGAAAACTTTTTTCGTATTTTTGTCTAGCAAAACCAGATCCCACTGCAATGGCATGAAAAATGGACATCGCCTTTTTGAACAGCCTCTTCATGTGCTTCTCTCATTGCAACCTACAATGATTTGAGGGAAGATTTTATAAAGGCTTGTACATTGGTTTATATAAAAAATAATAGAAAATAATGAATCATACTTCCTCAGGTGGCTTTGTACGATCAAAGATTGGCACATAGAGATCAATAGCTGACTCATATGCTTCTTTAACACTTTGCTTCTTCAACACTCTGTAAAATCGAAATAGTTTAGTAAACACAATAAGAATTAAAAAAAAACTATTTTGAACACCTTTATCCTAAAAGGTCAACATGTCACACTCTAAATGCCAAGATTTCCTTTGTAGGGGGATGTTTATGAGTAATGATGTTTGTTTGGATGAAGTGTTGACCATATTAACCCTACGTTTTAGAGACAGATTTCACAATAGTCATCAATCCCAACATGAGTAGAGTCGGAGGGATAAAAAAGAACAATTGGTTTAAAGGGTAGTGTTTTAATACATTAAACCAAGTTTTTTCAAGCTTAACCATTAAGTCATTGTCTAGATTAAGTAAAAAAGAAACAACCATATATAACTATCCAAATTAAGTTCTTAACCAATCAATCGCTTACATACATGCAAATGACTTTTCACATGATAAATTGTAAAACTTTCAATATTCATGAGCTTCAAAACTACTTTTGGTATAGCTCCTTCAAGGTCAACGAAAAAAATCAGCAAAATTGATAGACATACACTCACGACTTCTTAATAACAATATTTATAAAAGTTTATATTTAAATTAAATACTAAAACAAAAACATTAATCACACACTTTCACTGCCACTAAGTTGGTTGACTGTTTCAACAAAGGATTCATGGAGTTCTGGTGGCCAACTCATGCACTCCTATTGCAAAACCAAGATACTTGGCACATGCCCTCCTATTACAAAACCATATGTCTACACAATATATAAAAAAATGTAAAAACTTATATTCCATTTATAAATCCATATTTAACTAAAATGTATACACATAAATAACAAATTTGTGAAGTCATAATTGTCCCGTAGCTGAATTCCAAATAAAGAAGCTAAATTTTCAACTTCATGATAACCAACCCAAGAACCATCATGTTGTTCATGGTGAAAGAAAATATAGGACCAAGTCCATTATACACTACTTGAAAATCAAATAGTTTAATTTAATAAAAGAGTCCTAAAAATCTTATTGGTAAACGTTATTAATACTCCCACTAACTTTTAAACAATGTAGGAAGTATATATTGCAAACCTCCTCCCCATTCACATGTATTAATGCCAAAAGTATATTTCTCATATATCTACAAGTGACAATGTATGCCTAAGGAAAATATACTAACTTTTGTTACAATAGATAAATGTAAGAATATAAAAATCTTGTATGTGTGTTTAGTACCTTCATATGGTTAATGTGATGCTATATTCAAGAATGACAGTGTTCCATCTTCCAATGATTCCTCAAGACCTTCTTTTCTTTTCACAAAGTCAATTGCTCAATGCCATTAATTGATGTAGACACTGTGTCTGTAAGTATTTTAAGAGGTATGCCAATTTTTACTTTTATGAGAATTTCAGAGAAACTGAATTTTTGGTTGACAGAACGAACCTCTACTAAAGTAGGTCTTCTTTAGTAACTTTGCAGCTTCTTCTTTAGCCATAACAGTGGCATTTCCTTATTAAACAAAGTGAAACACTCCTTTCAACATTATCACTAATCAAACTGAAAATTGCAAAAACAAGAAATTGATGGTTAATTATAAGGTAATTTACATTTGCCAGCTACTATGACAACTAAATCAATCTACACACAATGATTGCAATCCAAAAACAAGATGAACCGAAACAAAGTCATAGAAACTCAAAATTATCATGAACTCATGAAGAGAGATAATAAGAGCAAATAAATTGAATATGAAGATGAACAATACAGTACGATTAGCTTAACAATGTTTTAGCATCACAAATCAAATAAACAACACCTTGAGCTTCAAACTTAGAGGTTTTGTGATCACTGTTACGCATCCATTCAGAAACATTGATACAAATCATCATAGCCTGATGGAAAAAACGAAAGTTTTAAACCGCTAACAAAAATCAAGTTTGATATAGTTTTGATTCATAATATATTACCTAGCGATTGACGGGGAATAGAGAAAACCGGATGAAACGTACCTATCGATTGTCGGAGCAGGCGGCGCACGACGGAATATACAAGAGGAGTGAGAGGATCGCAGAGTACGTCGAAGCACACAGAGCACGTCAATTATCAGAAAAATGGTAATAGTCCTTCGATTATGGCGGAAGAGGAGACTGGGGAAACAGGGGAACGGGGGTACGACTATGAATTTGGGGGAAACGAGCTTAGGTCAAATTTTTTAATGAGAGGTAATTAATTTTTTCCTAAAAATATATATATATAAATTATTTATTCATTATTATTAAACACATATAGTTTTTATTAGTGTAAATTACAAATAATATATATAACTAAAATGCTTAATATCCTTAATATATTAACTAAAAAATGTCCAATATCCTTATTTGAAATTACTAGTTTGTTCTGATAGTATTCCTATTTAAATTATCATTGATAATTTTTTTTTAAGATATTACTAGTTTTCCTTTAAAAACAATTTTATATATTTTGCAACGGAAACAAATTTCATAGCTAGTTGACTACGCAATATTTCGTAGCCAACTAGTAACGAATTTTATTTCATAGTCAATTCTCTAGCCAAGTAGCTACAAGTATGAATTTTATAACAAGCTCCATAGCGAACTAGCTACAATCAAAATTTCATAGCATATTTTGTAGTAAAATAGCTATAGATTTTAATTATGTAACAACTATTCGAAATTTAGCTACCCAATGCAATTTAGTAGCAATTTCCGTAGCAATTTAGCTACGGTTAGACATTTTGTAGCACATTTCGTAGTAGAATAACTACAAATTTTTATTTCGTAGCAACTCTACGCAGCTATTCAGGTTTTAACTACGAAATTCAATTCCGTAACCATTTCCGTAGCAAAATAGCTACGACAAGCCATTTTGTCGCATATTCCATAGTAAAACAGCTACGGATTTTGATTATGTAGCAACTTTTAGTAGCTATTCTTGATTTAGCTACGAAATCCAATTTCGTAGCAATTTTCGTAACAAAATAACTATGACAAGTTATTCTGTAACATATTCCGTAGTTGAAAGGCTACGGATTTTGATTCTGTAGCAACTTTCCGTAGCAATTTAGGATTTTTCTTGTAGTGATATAATATGGGATTTTCTATATGTTGGCCTTTAATTAGCCATTTTATTTAGTCCTTTTCTTGGATAAATTTACCTAAGTTATTTCCTATATATAATCATTTCCTTTCATTGTAAATATACTTTTTGTTGATCGATAAAAAACACTAGATGTTTTTGGTGTTAATCTTCATGGTATCGTAGCATTCTTTTCATAGTCATTGATTGTTTGAAGGTAGATTTGATGTCGAGCACTCCTCTCACAATGTTTTGTTTTTGCTAACAACATAATGTTTTGTCTTCGTTAGAGTTTTTTTTGGCATTGTTTCATTTTAGTTATTTATGTAGTAACTTTCCTCATTGGTTTGTCTTTTTATTTGTTTGATGTTACGATCTTTATTAGTTTTTGGTTACAATGAGAAAAGGCTATTTGTTTAGGTAAATTAGTGTTCGGTTACATGGTAAAGCTATGGATTTTGGAGTAATGTTTTGAAAAAATTTGCATGGTAAATCTATGTGGGGTTACACTAGTAAGATACAAGTTAAACCACAAGATGAGTGTTAAGTAAGAAGCAAAATAATGCGATAAAACAACACTACGATTAAAATGGTCTGTTCGATGTGACATACGTCCACATGAAGGAACCAGTTAACCAGGGATCTCTTCTATTACTCCATTGTTACAAAATGAGATTACAATGGAATCCCTAACAAATACATATAACCATAAAGCCCTAGCTGCTATAGGGTCGAACACATATACAACAAAATGAAATTACAATGGAATCCCTAACAACGAATACTTATAACCATAAAGCCCTGGCTATTATAGGGTCGAACCCATATACAACAAAATGAGATTACAATGGAATCCCTAACAACGAATACTTATAACCATAAAGCCCTAGCTGTTATAGGGTCGAACTCATACACAACAAAATTTAAAATAACTAAACATATTCATATCGCGGGGGCTCCCACTACACCCCCCCCCCCCATGGGATAAGTGTTTATTGTGTATAGATTAGGACATATTAACCCTAAGCCTACTCCAAAAACTTATCGATATATGGTGTAGGGTTTCTTCACTTCCTTTCATATTGAGTTATTCTATCAAATCACCAAATTTCAAGTCACACATTAACAATAAGAAAGTGGTTGATTATGCAAAATGGGTTGATGCATGGTAGACTGATAAGTCAAAAATATTAACATCGACCAATGATGTTATCATTCAATTTATTGTTACTTAGTTGGCTAAATATGATAATATTAAGCAAGTTTGGAATCACTTTGATCGATTACACACTCAATTGATTTTTTCTAGACAATATCCATTAGAAACATATATTTGTGTACTCCGACATAACGATGTGATAATCCAAGATTTTTATAAGTGTATTCCTGGAATATGGCATATGGGATTGGCTGAAGCTAACTAAATCTATTGAATTACAATCATTTACACTATACATTGCTAGTAAGAAATAACAATGTTTGGTATAGTTTCTGATGGCTCCCCGATCTGACTTTTTGAGGTCTTGTGTGGGACAGTTCTACATCTACACCTCGACGATTGTAGTTTGATACTAGAACCGCTTCCCCATCTATAGGTCCTTTTTTTAAACGGAAACTGTAACACCAGTTCTAGGTAACTAATTCCCTTGATTTTATGGCACTTAAAGTTTTAAATAGTGCTTTTTTGTGGTGGCCACGACGTGGTGAATGATGCATGTAACATCCCAAAAATCAAAGTAAAATTTTCACTTTTTAAAAACATTCTGGAGACTCCACAAGTATAATTCATAATTCAGAGTATCCCAAAGTCCAAAACACATAAAATCTGAAGGATGTGCACGATCACGCCTTCGCCTTGCCACGATCATCTGAAGTACCTGAAACAATAAACTAAAACTATAAGCACGAAGCTTAGTGAGTTCCCCCAAAGTACCACCACACAAACGAATAACATAAACAATCATATATGTTGGGTCCACAACCTCCTGGTTGGATTACCCTGGCCCACAACCTCTCGGTTGGATTGCCCATGGCCCATAACCTCCTAGTTGGATTGCCCTACATATCTCATATTGGGTCCACAACCCTCCGGTTGGATTACCCTATCCCACAACCTCATGGTTGGATTGCCATACATACTACATACTGGGTCCAAAACCTCCCGGTTGGATTGCCTTGGGTTTGTTAATTGGTAGCACAAAGCAGTACAGCCTCAACCCCACCATACTATGTCTCCATACACAACAGATAAACATATAATCAGTCAGCAAATCCACAGATCACTACGGCATAGCAACATCCTATATATCAGGATACATAACTCAGTGGGCCGGTATTGGTGCCTTCGACCTGCAAGTACAGTGAGGAAAACTCACCCCTCAGTTTGAAAAGGTCGTTGAACATGCCACTGCTGCGAACATCAGCTCTACCGGTCACCTATTTATCAAATAGTAACCAATCTCAAATACAACTAAAAATACCCAAAGTACCCTTAGGTCAAACTTGGTAAAATTATGGTCAAATCCAAAATCAACGAAGTCAACTGAGTTGACTCAGGCTGAGTACGCTCAACATACTCGGTATCTACGCTTAGCGTACTTAAGGTCCAGATCGGGCTTCCAAGGGAGTACGCCCAACGTACTCAGAAGTACGCCTAGCGTACTCGGCTAAAAGTCACTTCCCCATTAAGTGCTTATTTCATGAAGTCCTTTCGTCTAATTGCAGATCTAGCCCCCAAATACCATTCCAAACCATAAATTTTCAATCTTTATGAGTTTGCATGCATAGAAAATGCCCAACACCGAAACCCTAACTTGTCTTAAGCTCTTAAGCCCTCTAACATTTGCATGGAAGGGAATAAGGGACCAAGATTACATTTTTATGCTTCCTAATAACTCCATAATGGATGAAGTTTCAAACTTTATCCATTAGAATGGTCCAAACAACCAATATCTAATCTTTAAGTCTCTAAGGACCAAAAGTGCATCTTTATCAACTTAACCCATTAAGTCCAAGTCTCCAACCTTCAGATTTGAATCAAAATGATGTTTAGATGGATAAAGTTTCCAACTTTATCCACAACAAGGTCACAAACTTTCAAGATCTAAACTTTATGCACTAAAATGACCAAAAGCTCATAACACCCAAAACTATCTAGATCTAACAAATGCATCATCAAGATTCAATTTTTATACCTCTAAAAGAAAGATCAAGGTGAACAAGTTCTGGATCTACAAGCTCTAATGAAACCAACACTTCTCCAATTAGCTCCTTCTTCTCCAAGATGCACCAAGAACACTCCAAAGCACTTAAAAACACATTCTGTAACACCACAAAAATTCAAGCCAATTTAAAACTTTTTAAAACATTTAAAACCATTAAGTCATTACAGTTTACTTTCAAAATAATTTAAACATCAGAGTATCCCCAGAATCAATCATGAAAATGTAAGGAGGTGCACGATCACGCCTTAGCCTTCCCGCGATCATCTGAATACCTGGAACAATAATCGATAAATGTAAGCTCGAAGGCTTAGTGAGTTACCCCCAAAATACCAACCCATACTAACCAGAACAAATATCATATCAATACAAATACAGAACAACATGCATAATAAGCCTTCAGCCTGACTAGACCGCCTCGCAGGCCTTCAGTCTATCTGGACCGCTCTCCTAGCCTTCGGCACGTCTGGATCGCCTCGTAGGGCCTTCAGCCTATCCGGACCGCTCGTCGGGCCTTCGGTCTGACTATCATACCCTCCTGGGTCTGTAGTCTATCCGGACCGCCCTGGGTATGTTGGCCTTCAGCACAAAGCAGGACCGCCTCAACCCAAACCCCCAATCAACAAACATGTGCACATACATATCATACGCTAGCATATATAACAGTCAACCGATCTAACAGATCAAATAGCATAGCATCATCCTATGCCCAGGATACTGACCTAACCAGATCACTAACATATGTACAGATAATCATACGGATCTAACAGATCACATAGCATAGCAACATCCTATAACTAGGATACCGACCTAACCAGGTCACTAACATATATACAGATAATCATACGTATCTAACAGATTACATAGCATAGCAACATCCTAAAACCAGGATGCAATCATAAAGGGCCGGCCTTGGTGCCGTAGACCCTATAGATATAGTGAGGAGAACTCACCTGGCACTGCTGAAGTCCCGCGGAATAAACTCCAGCTGCTGGTTGACAGATTCCAGAACTGTCAACATCAAACAATACCCAATTAATAATTGGGTTCCAAGCCCAAAGTCCAACTCACACTCCAAAGGCCCAATAGTCAACCAATGGGCTAAATCCGAACATATGGCCCAATTTTCCAAATTGGGCCCAGACCTCTACATGGTCTTTCCTTAAGGCCCGTTCAATTATTCTAGTCGAAACTATTTGTATTCCCATGGCCCAATATCACATAATCATAAAGGCCCAATTATGGCCCATCTATGGCCTAATTTCCAAATTGGGCCCAAGACTCTCACATGGGCCTTATCCTAAAACCCATACAATTATTTAGTCCATTTACTTATTCTTGAAAAGCCCATTAATAGTCCAATCACCAAAGCCCAATAGGAAGGCCCAACTCAAGGCCCAAGTGGAATTAGGGTTTCACATAAAATGATGATTAGGGTTAAGTTTCCAACTTAACCCATTAAGGACTTAATCCACTAATGACTTAATCCATTAAGTCCAATATTGCTTAGATTAATCTTTGCCAATGATTATTATTTAATATTTCAAACTATTAAATAATTCCCGTGTGTGTGTCCCGATTAATTCTCAAAATTAGGGTTCTATTGGCATTAGGGTTTTCCAAACCCTAATTAGGGTTTCCAACCCAAATACTAGCCCATTTATCAATTTGTTGGGCTTTTAGGTCCATTAGGGCTTTATTGGGCCCATTAAGGTCTCAATGGGCCCACTAGGGTTTCTTTTGGCCCAGTAGGGTTTAGTAGCCCCTTTTCCAAACATCCAAACGAGTCACAAACCAAACAAGGCACACCGCCACCCGACACGGCGGCTGGTGGCGGCAGGAGGCGGCAGCCACCACCTCACGGTGGTGGTTTTAGGTTTCCTTTTCACTATTTCGATATGGTTACAATTTACAATATCATCCAAATTCACACACACTAATAACACACACGCACACTAATAAACACACACACACACACGCAACCACCTCGTGGTGGCCGGTGGTGGTGTATGGCGGCAGAAGAGCAGCAACCGACCAATAGCCACCATGGTGGGCTGCCATGGTGGCTCCCAACGTTTCCGACCAGCTCATAAACACGCCCACACGCCGACACATACAGAACCATGCACACATCCATCGAGCATGGAGGCGGTCGGAACAGAAACGGCAGCGAGCATGGCGGCAGCAGCGGTGTTGACGTTGGCAGCGGCAGACGACGACGCTTTTGACGACGAGGTAGCAGGCGACGTCTAACAGAAGAAGAGGAGAAGAGGGATCGGCGGCAGTGGACTTCGACCAACGACAGGGCTCCTCCCCAGCTTGCTTCTCTGGCAGCAGCGTCGTAATGGCGACCCTCAACAGCAGTGGCGGTCCACAACAGCAGCTCCCGACATATAGGGGTTGGCTCCAGTGATCTCCGTCTTCAATGGCGGCTAGGAAGTCACGAATCGGCGGCACCCACGAAACTAACTCCATCTCCCGATCTCTACTGTTGCAGCGTCCTTTCCCGGTTTCTTCCGGTGTGCGCTATTTCCGGTGACATGGGCCGTTCAACGGTGCTGGGTGGTCGGATCCGGCAACGGCGGCTGGAGGTAGAGAGAAACGTGGAGAGAGAGTGGCGGCCGGTGGGAGTCATAAGGGGTGACGGCTGGAAAGGGTTTGGCTAGGGTTAGGGTTTCGTAATGCATATATACCCGGTCACACAAACACTTTGCCATAATGTCAAGATCGGCCCCTCCAACCAGAAATCATTTTAATATAAGTCTGCAAATTACCGTTTAAACCCTGCCCCTTGAATCCTTTACAAAACTAATCCAAAATGTTACCAATCAGCCCCTGCCTCCAAAAATCCTTACATATTAAGTCTAATACTTACCAAATAACCCTTTAGCCTCCAAAATCCTTTCAAAATAAATCCCCAAATTACTATTTAACCCCCAAATAATCCGATTTATAACATTTGGCTTCCCAAAACCGATACCCCACTAAATAATATGGATTTCGGGCAATTATTCGTTTATCAATTTTATCTATTTATTTATAAATTAAACAGGATGTTACACATTCTTTTTGCTCACAAGGCTCAAACTAGGGTTAGGGCTTCAAGGGACGACGTTGAAGGGGTGGAGGCTGAGAATGGAAAGAGTTTGGGGGGGGGGGGTTAAGGAGCTTAAATAGGGCTCAAAACCTTCAAAATAGGGTTTGGCACCTGATTGCGTACGCCCAACGTACTAGGTTGGATCCCGCAATCATAACACCCAACGTACCAGGCTCAACCCAAAACCCTCCTAACTTCGAATGGTCATAAATTCTTCGTTCTAACTCTGATTTCGATGATCTTTATATCTACGGAAAGGTATTGAAGAGCCCCATAATATTATCTAGATATCTTGGACTAAAAACTTATCGAACAAAAATCCATATTTCATGCAAGAACCCGGCCTATGACTTTTTCCTTTCTATCCTTCGACCCAAAACACAATTCAAGGGTTAAGATCTCGCAACCATCACTGCCTCCTTCCAAAAGGCCTAAACATTACCTCCTTAAGGCCTAAAGCCTTTACACAATCGACTTCCATCCCACGGTCTTGAAATAAGAAATTTCAGGAAACAGGATGTTACAATTATCCCCCACTTAAATTAGATTTCGTCCTCGAAATTAGCTCTCGCTTCCACTTCATAATGCAACCCTTCACATCAACCAAAATAACTGAAAACCTGCAGATTTAATTGGCCCAAATTCTCCTCAGCCAAACGCCGTCATTCTAATTCTGCACATAAGTTTACTATCGCAATGAAAACTACTCTGGTCACATACTAAACTAAGACATGCTCTCACTTGACTCCGACAACCCTTCTTAGCTATCTACTGACAACACTCAAGATTATCCTTGATCCACTAATTGACAACAACATTTGGGCTTACCCCTGATCCACTAACTATTAACAACACTTAGGGATTACCCCCGATCCACTAACCGATAACAACACTCGGGATTACCCCCGATCCACTAACCGATAACAACACTCGGGCTTACCACCGATCCATTAACCGATAACAAGATACCCAGGAGGATCTAATTCCACACAACATCCATGAACTCCATCATGCATGCAATTGAGAGCAAAGACAATTACTCCATTCATAATGCAAAATCAATTAGAACATAAATAAATAGGACAATTCCGTTCAACTGATCATCCAAGATTACAACTGAATTTCACGTTGCATCCAAATTCCGTATAAGCTCAGATGTACCTCCACCTGACAAACCACTCGAGACCTTCACAATGAACTTCATAACTCGAGATTCCATAACCCAAGCCCAACCTTGACCATACTCTTCTATCACGCATAACTCCTTTCACAGTACAGGCGGCTACCAAAGCAAAAAATTTAGGTGAAAACATGGTCGCACACATCCAGAGAATGAGATAGGCGGTTGCATTCTTGTTCCAATTTCAAGGCTACAACAAATTAAAAAAATCATGTCAATAACTTGAACCAAGTGTTCTCATGCTACCTTATTTAACCTATACATATCCCCAAGAAAAAACACATATCCAACCCTAGCTCTACTGCACTCCTTCTTCCTCACCACCCTTACCTATCGGGTGTGGTACCAGTAGATCTAACCAAAAAATATGAACCTCAACCGCTAACAAACATCCTCACGAATGGACGGAGACTAAGATCCCACACCTTGATTGAAACCGAACAGTTCCATCCAAGACACAAATGGGTCGATAAAACCTCCAGATCCATCAGAAATGCTACCAAAACCCTGGTCAGTCAGTCCAGCTACCAACCCTGCCGACGTGAGTCATACCTGAAAAACTAATAACGTTGTCCCAACTTCAAAAGAACCTCTGCTATTGACGAAGAACGAAAAGTCCAACAATCGAGACTGCATTGACAACCTATATATTGGTCCAATACACTACTGTACAAAGCCCATGAGGGACTAAACATACCAATTCTAAAACTGATTGACCGATCTGCCACTACCCATCCTAGGCTATAGATATCAATTTATACAACAAGCTGACAAATCCCTCAACAATCGATACCTAACCTGAGCGACCAAAACGCCTATTGACCTATTCCTCAACGTTTTCGAAAAGAACCACTGGCTACATCGATTTCCTTGGCCAGCAGCTTCTTGTCGCGAAGACGACTCAATGCATTACTGAACACATACATCTGATGGAAACTTGCTCTGCACCCTCCCCCGACTTGACCTAATTTTGATTAGAAGCATCGCATACCCAAACCGCAAATTTATGCGGCCCATTATTCTGAAACCATAAGCTCGAACAGATCGATGATCCTCCCAATAGAATACCTAGTTCTCCCCCACTTAGGATTCGAACTACCACCAACTGGTGTCACAAACAAACCATATCTCAAACCGACTCAACCAGGTACATACCTTCCCTAAACCTTTAAATGTATAACATAACGCAAGATGATCCTCTAGATAAAGACCAAGCAAACTCAAGGAGATTTTGAGTCTCAGATAGAGACCTCGAGGACCTCCACAATTACGACAACATCTAATATCAAGGATCCCATGTAGAGGCACAGCAATAATTATGACAGTTCATTCATAACACCAACTCCAACCGTCAGATCATCGCGAGAATCATTCGCAAATACAAAAGGCATTATCATCATAGTCGGGATACATCAGAGACAACAAAAGTTGTTGCTCCCAATTCACCTGAAATTATCAGCTAGCACATGACATGCCTATATCCCAAGAAGCAGATCCTTGGTCTCTTCTCAAGGCATCCATACCACAACAATCCTCCTAAGCATTCTCACGCTTCCATACTACCGCCAAAAACTGCATCCAACTAGCCATATGTTGGGTTTACATCCCAACTCTGAAAGTCACATGCCTACTCACTCCTTCCTCCGGACTCGAAAAACTGGAAGGACATAACCGTCTCCATAGATAGTGACATTCCAATCCATCTTCCAATCACTTATCCTTCGGCCGAAATCCTCGATACGATCATAACAACCGCTTCCTTCTTGAGTCTCGCGACTCAACTGACACTACTTGAGTGAGGTTCTCGAGACCTCAAAATCATCTAACTCACCTAGGTTTGCACCATTCAAACCCAAACTGACATGGCTACTAAGTCCTAAACAATCATTCGACTCATCCTCAACCTAAACAACTATAACCGAAAGATTAGCAGATACAGTAACATTGTCACGAATCATGGTATCATCCATGCCATCTACCATTCTACCCTCAACCAGCTCCTTAGAATCCTCGTGACTTCCCTCGATTCGAGTATGGATCATGTGCTTCCAGTAGTACAGGCCCAATACTATCTTCCACACCTATCCATACTTTCCTCAAGAATCATCCCGAGTCCTCTAAGTTACATACTCATAATAGTACTTCCAACACCCGCTGAACAACGTAGAAACTATACTAAAGCACTTCCTAGGCTTTCCTAGGATTCCCCACCTCCCCTTCCATCATCTGTTAACGAACCCCTATTAATTTCAGCTAACCACTTCATGAATACAGTTACATGCAACAAAACTTAAATAATCTTTCGACTAAAAGACTCAACCCTACAACGGTTAGATTCAGACGAGAGTTGCGTAATAGGAATAAATCCTCCACTCAAAGATTATTTAACCTTCGTAGCATGTAATTTAACGTATTCATTTGATAGTTAACTCGCATCAATATGAGTCCCACAAAGCACAAAGCAAGCAACATTCGAGCAGTGGAGTCGACTGGCACTAAGACACAATAAAATCAGGCAGATTCTCATACGAAATTCCCGACCACTTGGCCTGAGCATCTAGGATACACATTCATCCTATATCTACTCCCTCAAGAGTGGCTAATCATTCCTCATGCTGGTCTGTTATGAACTGAACTCACTCATCAAAACTTCCACCAACCCTACAACCACTCGTGCATGCTAATCATACACAACGATGGATCCCATAGACGGTCGAATACTTGATTCTACCCTAAGACCTTAATCAGACAAGAACCAGAAATAAGGCTAAATCAAACATTCTCAGGCTATAAAATCTTAGTTATGTACAACTATGATCCACATACTAAGCAACTATAGTAATGATGTTAATTTCATCTAGCATATAAGAGATTCTCCTAAGCTATCAGGCATCATTCATCAGGAAATTATATCATGCAATTCTTGAAGATCCCTAGCCTACAACTAGCATGAAGTTCTATCATAAGCATCATAAGCACATAACAGTGTGGGTATCTTGGGGTAAACTTTCTTACTCCGGTTGATCGTACACATCTCATCCTTCCTTGGTTACTTTCTGAAAATAATTTGAATTTAATTTGGAAATAATTTGAAACAGTTTGAAAATAACTTAAAAACTTTCACAGATCCTTAGTTTGAGTCTGGATTCACACGAATGTTCATCCAATTCTCTCAAACCAGGGCACTAATACCAACTT